CTCGGCGGCTCGGCTGCTCGGCGGCTCGGCTGCTCGGCTGTTCGGCTGCTCGGCGGCTCGGCAGTGAAGGGGCCAGGGAGGGGCCGAAAGGGGGGGGCGGCGACGGGGCCGCAAGGGGCGGCGACGGGGCCGCTAAGGGTGGCGACGAGGCCGCTAGAGGGTGGCGACGGGGCCGGGAAGGGCGGCGACAGGGGCCGCTAGGGGCGGCGACGAGGCCGCGAAGGGCGGCGACGGGGCCGCGAGGGGCGGCGACGGGGCCGCGAGGGGCGGCGACGGGGCCGCGAAGGGGCCGCGAGGGGCCTGGAAGGGCGGCGACGGGGCCGCTAGGGGCGGCGACGGGGCCGCGAAGGGGCCGCGAGGGGCCTGGAGGGGCGGCGACGGGGCCGCTAGGGGCGGCGACGGGGCCGCGAAGGGGCCGCGAGGGGCCTGGAAGGGCGGCAACGGGGCCGCTAGGGGCGGCGACGGGGCCGCGAAGGGGCCTTGAGGGGCCTAGAAGGGCGGCGACGGGGCCGCTAGGGGTGGCGACGGGGCCGCTAAGGGTGGCGCGAGGGGCCTCTAGGAGGGCTCGACAAGAGGGCGGCCCACGGGGCGCGCCTCGGGCAGGGGCGACTCGCGCTCCGGTCAGAAAAAAAGTCGATTTTCAGTGGTGGGCCCTAGGAAGTTCCCACTAGGGAACCTGCTCTATACCATGTGAGAATTGAGGAATGAAATAAACTAGCAAGCAGGTGGGTACAAGTAGGAAAACCTAAAAGTGTTGTACCCCATATTGTCTACCCCACTACAGCCTACACAGACTATAGCATATGAGTTTGACAGCTGAGATCTACGCTGGGGCCATGGTTGCACATGAGTAACGCTGGCTCACCTACCTGCTGACCGACTTGGGAGAGGCGCCTCGTTCTCCTCCAGTTCTGTACGTCGACAACAAGGCCATGCTTGCCTTGTGTCAGGAGCACAGACTGGAGCACAGAACGAAGCACATTGCTCTGCGATACTTCCTTGCTCGAGAGTTGCAGCAGCGTGGTCAGCTTCGTCTTGCGTACGTGGCCACTAGGGCCAACACTGCTAATATATTCACCAAGGCACTTCAGTCTGGTGATCATCAGCGCTTCTCTACTATTTTAGGCCTTGTGCCTACTTTGCCTCACTTGCTCACTGCGTGATTTTGTTTGTAGTGTGATCTATATATATATACCTGCATGCTTACTCTTGCTAGGATGTGATCACTGTACTATTTGTTCTCTTTTATACAACTCAGTATATGAACTGGCCATTGTGGCCCTTTGCTTGTGCTCGGAATGTGTGGTGACTTTGTGATCCACCCTGAGCTTGCTTTGCTTTTCTTGACTGGTCTTGTGACCACTTGTTCTCCCCCACTTTGCCTATTGGGGTGTGTCAGAATGTTGTATTGCTTACTTGTATAGGCTATAGTGGGGTAGCCCATAAGGGGTACAACCCAATTAGGGTTAGTACTTGTACCCAACTCTTTCATAGTTCATTCATTCTCGTTCGTTATTCTGACAGGGAATGTTGAGTGAGCCGTTTGAAAATAGAGAAACGTGGGTGGAGGGAAATGAGCTCCAACACACGGTTTTCGTAGTTGGAGAAGGGCGTTTAGCGCGCTTTGACGATGCCAATTGTGCAATACAAGCAGCTTCGCTTTCACAATACACAACTTAAAAAAAACTCTATGTGTGTTAAAAAATTGTAATATTGAGAAAATTTGCTTTCTTATTCTTATCAATTGGCATCGTTCTCATTACAAATGGGGTCTCTGAGACATAGGCAGCGGGTGCCTCCGGTTACGTACGAGTGCCTCTGTGTGTTGTGCCAAAGTCACCGCATGCGTTGGATCTTGTAGGTTGCGGGAGGCTTTGATGAGAGGCTCGACATATGGCGTCACATACATTTCCTTTGTTGTGTCGCTTCGCCATCTGCCCAGCCGTCTGAAGACTCTGTCTGGCACTCCAGTGTTGGCTGCTACTGTGGCTGCGCCTTTTCGGAAAGAATGACTGCCGAGCTACAACTCGCCAAGGCCAACCTTTGCGAAGGCTTCCTTGAGGGTGTTGCGCTACTTGTGCAGTACGTCGGGCATGGGGCTCGTGCTTGGAGGACGGGGTCCAGTTGTCCTCACTAGTCACGCAGACGCTTCTTGGGTTGACGACTTGGCTACGCAACGGTCGTCACAGGGTTACACCTTCAGCCTTGGTTCTGGCTCTATTTCTTGGCGGTCTACCCGCTCATCCTCGGTTCTCAGTTCCAGTTGTGAGGCTGAGATCTACGCAGGGGCCATGGCTGCACAGGAGTTACGCTGGCTCACCTACCTGCTGACTGACTTGGGAGAGCAGCCTCGTTCGCCTCCAGTTCTGTACGTAGACAACAAGGCCATGATTGCCTTGTGTCAGGAGCACAGACTGGAACACAGAACGAAGCACATCGCTCTGCAATACTTCCTTGCTCGAGAGTTGCAGCAGCGTGGTAAGCTTCGTCTTGCGTACGTGGCCACTAGGGCCAACACTGCTGATATATTCACCAAGGCACTTAAGTCTGGTGATCATTTGTGCTTCTCTACTGTTTTAGGCCTTGTGCCTACTTTGCCTCACTTGCTCACTGCGTGACTTTGCTTGTACAGTGATCTACATATATATACCTGCATGCTTACTCTTGCTAGGCTGTGATCACTGTACTGTTTGTTCTCTTTATATAACTATGTTTCTGAACTGGCCATTGTGGCCCTTTGCTTGTGCTCGGAATGTGTGGTGACTTTGTGATCCACCCTGAGCTTGCTTTTGTCAGAATAATGAAGGAAGGAATGACTGAACTAGCAAGCAGGTGTTTACAAGTAGGAAACCTAAAAGTGTTGTACCCTATATGAACTACCCCACTACAGCCTAGACATACTATAGCATATAAGTTTGACACACCCCCATAGGCAAAGTGGGGGAGAACAAGAGGTCACAAGACCGGTCAAGAAAGGCAAAGCAAGCTCAGGGTGGATCACGACGTCACCACACATTCTGAGCACAAGCAAATGGCCACAAGGCCAGTTCACATGCAGAGTTATATAAAGGAGAACAAACAATACAGTGAACACAACCTAGCAAGTGTAAGCATGCAGGTATATGTATAGAGATCACAGTACAAGCAGAGTCAAGAAGTGAGCAAGTGAGGCCAAGTAGGCACAAGACCTAACATAGTACAAAAACGCTGATGATCACAAGGCTGAAGTGCCTGGGTAAAGATATCAGCAGTGTTGGCCCGAGTGGCCACGTAAGCAAGACGGAGCTGACCACGCTGCTGCAACTGTCGAGCAAGGAAGTAGCGCAGAGCAATGTGCTTCGTTCTGTGCTCCAGTCTGTGCTCCTGACACAAGGCAAGCATGGCCTTGTTGTCGACGTACAGAACTGGAGGAGAACGAGGCGCCTCTCCCAAGTCGGTCAGCAGGTAGGTGAGCCAGCGTAACTCCTGTGCAGCCATGGCCCCAGCGAAGATCTCAGCCTCACAACTGGAGCTGAGAACAGAAGACGAGTGGGTAGACCGCCAAGAGACAGAGCCGGAGCCAAGGCTGAAGGTGTAACCCTGTGACGACTGCTGCGTAGCCAAGTCGTCAACCCAGAAAGCGTCTGCGTGACCAGTGAGGACAACTTGAGCCAGTCCTTCAAGCACGAGCCCCATGCCCGACGTACTGCACAAGTAGCGCAACACCCTCTTAGCTCCATCCATGTGCTCCTTCCTGTGTCTGCCAGGAGCGACATAGCGTGCTAGAATGCTAAGAGGGTAGGCAAGGTCAGGTCGAGTGCAGGTCATCAGGTACATGAGGCAGCCCACAAGCTCTGGATACGGGCCACTCGGCTCTACGGACTCGTCCGAAGGTGGAGCTGAGAGCGAGTGACCGGTAGGCAGAGGAGTGGACTGTGGCGAGGAGTACGTGAAGCCGAAGCGCTGAAGGACCTGCTGCACCATGTGTGACTGAGTCAAGGTAATGGTGCGCTGTGCTCTGTCCTGGGTGATCCGCAAGCCAAGATAGCTTGTCAGCTCACCCAGGTCTGTGCACGTGTGTCTCTTCTGCAGCTCCGACTTCACGTGGGCGAGTGCCTCAGTGTCAGCAGTAGCAAAGACCAAGTCGTCAACGTACACGAGAACGTAGAACGGCGGCAGAGTGGTGTCAGTGCATAGAAACAGCGACGGGTCAGCGGTGGAAGGAGCAAACCCAAGAGCAGCAAGAGTCGTCCTCAGTGTGTCATGCCACTCACGAGGTGCCTGGCGGAGATCGTAGACTGGCCGCCGGAGGCTCCACTGGGTACCAGTAGGAAACGACCCAGTGAAGCCAGGTGGGCGGCGCAGCCAGATCTCCTCGTGCAGGCTGCCCTGTAGGAAGGCTGTGCTGAAGTAAAGAGAGTGTAGCTCGTAGTCACGCTGAGCGGCGACGTGCAGCAGCACCCGAAGAGTGGTCATCTTCGGGGTAGGGGAGAAGGTCTGGAAGAAGTCAACTCCCTGTCGCTGACTGAAGCCTCGTGCAACGTAACGCGCCTTGAAGACAGGCGGAGAACCCGGCGGCCGCTTCACCCTGAAGATTCACATGCCACTGACGATGTTCGCCCCAGGCGGGGGAACCTCGTCGACGTAGGTGCATGTGGATTTCCAGGAAGCCATCTCTGTGTCCATGGCTGTCTGCCACTGAGAGGAGTAGGGACCCTCTATCGCCTCTGCGTAAGAGCGCGGGGTCGGGATGTCTGGTGCATCCGGGTCTCCCTCAGGGGCAAGCAGCATGGACACGAGATGAGGTAAAGCAGCGGCAAAGCACTCAAACTCCTCCTGTCCGTCCTCAAGGACGTGCGTGCCAAGAGCACACTCACCCCCGACGGACGGAGGACAGACAGACGCAGACTCAGCAACAAGACTAGCGGCGTAGTCTAGACGACAGGCGGCAGCAAAGTCAACAAGCTCAGCAACTAGAGTAGACGCAGCAATGGACTCAAAGGATTGCGGAAGTGGCGAATATGTGCGCGGTACGGGGAGTTTGCAAGAAAGGCGGAACGGGGTAATTGCGCCAAGGGTTGCGGGACCTGTTGGTACACGTGTCAACCAGGCATTGGTCCAGGGTGAAGGCAGCTTGGCGCAGTGCGGGGATGGAAGGGAGGAGGGGCATAGGCGGAGCATGGGCGCGGAGGGGATGGGAAGGGGAAGGGGGGGATCGAGTGTGGATGGGATGGGGAGAGGAAGGGGGGAAGGGATGGGAAGGGGAATGGGGGAAGGGATGGGAAGGGGAATGGGGGAAAGGATGGGAAGGGGAAGCGGAAGGGGAAGGGGAGTTTTGGAGAGGACAGTGGGGGGAGGTAGCTGGAAGGAGCGGCAGTTGGGGCGAGAGGGCATGGGATGGGGGGAGCTGGGGGGTGGGGGGCAAGAGGCGGTCGGGGAGGGGGAGGGCATGGCATGGCGCAGAGGGAGCATGGGGGATGCGGATTGGCGGATTGGTGGGGGAGGGGATGCTGCCGGTGTGCACCGCAGGGCGGCTACAGTAGCTGGCCTGGGCGGCATCCAAGACGTGGGCGGCATGGGCGGCATGAGTGGTATGGTGCGAGACAATGGGGGTGAAATGGATGCAACTGTGGGCGTGGGAATCGTGCAGGGGACAGCAACGGCAGTGGGGAGGGGGAGGGCCCTTTTATATAGGGCCATGGGAGGAGGTAGCTGGAAGGAGCACGCGGTGGGGCGAAACGGAATGAGTGGTGGCGTGGGCAACATGGGCGGTATGGGCGGCAGTCAGAGGGAAAGGCCAACTGGTGGGCAGGTGGGGGAGTGGTTGGAGCAGGCACACGTTCCTGTAACGCATAAGATTGTAACGAGGATGGGCCAATCAAACCACTCCGGGCGGCAACAGGAGACGCCCCTCTTCGAGCTCCACGGCAGGCCTCTGCTCGCCTCTCACCAGCGCTGCTCGCTTCAAAGGCGTGACCCAGCGGTGGTGCCAGCTCAGCGTGCCAGTCTTCCAGGTCAGCAGAGCGCTATGCCAGGTCAGCAGAGCACAGCTGTGGCTCGTGATCTGCAGCACCGAGCATCGTGCGCTCCTCTCGGCCTTGAGGGTGTGCCCATCTCCCAACCCAACGACCAGCACTTGCAGCAGCAACACACTCAGCGGCATTCCCAGCAGCAACCCCAGCAGCACTATCAGCAGCTCAGCCAGCCAAGAGGCCCGTCCTTTCAACCCCTCAATGCTGCTGCTGCTGTGCCAGCACGCACTGGTTGCGCCCGCGGCACCGCCTCAGCGTCAAGCGCTGAGCATCGCTTGCAAGTCACTGATGGGCGCGGAGGGAGCAAGTCCGCCTCTCTCCCCCTCAATGCTGCTGCCACTGCCGCATCTACTGGGGGGGCGGCAATCATCTGCACTGCTCCTGCTCCTGCTCGTGGGGGCAGCAGCCAGTGCGCCTCTCTGCACCGCCGCATGCTCACCTTCCCCCTCCCCGCCCCCTCTCCCCACACCCGCATCTCTCCTCCTCGTCCTTCTCCTGCGCCTCCTCCTCCTGCTGCTGCTGGTGGTGTGGCTTCTGCTGCTGGTGGTCCCACTGCGGTGTCCCTTCCTACTCATACGGCTGCTGCTGCTGCTGCTGCTGCTGCTGCTGCTGCTACCTGTGCTGCGGGCAGCAAGAATAGCGTCGGCATGCACCGCTGCGAGCATGCGTGCGAGCATGGGCGTGGTGGCGTTGCTGGTGCTGGCAGCACGAGGGGACCAGTGAGCACATTAGGACAAGTGACCCACGCCCCATCCAGATGGCACTCGTGGGGGGGTGCCACGGCTGGTACTCTCGCCACTGCAGCCAGCAGCAAGCCCAGGCCAGCACACCATCTCTCTCATAGAACCTCCTCTTCCCCTGCTGCCTCCCACATCCCACTCCACACCGAGCCTCGGACTCAAGCTCGGGCCGCACCGGCAGCCCAGCTCCGGTCCCCTGCCGAGCCACCACCACAGCTGGCTAACTCCCAGCGACTCTATGAGTCTCAGCCCTTGCAGCGGAGTCAGTTACGTGCCCCGCCTCTCACTCCCCTGCGCCTCACACCGCTTTCCCTGCTCGAAACCTCCTCTGCCTCCTCGCCCCGTCACACCCCCTCTCGGCATTCCCCTGCCTCCGTGCCTGGAGCTCCTTCCCCCTGGCTCCCCCTCTCCCAACACTCACCTAACTCATCCTCATCCTTCTCCTCCCCCCGCTCGCTCCCCCCACACCCCTCCCCTCGCTTTCTCGCCCCACAAACCTCCCCTCGCTCTCTTGAACCACAGCCCTCCCCTCGCGCTCTTCCCCAGCAACCTTCCCCTCGCTCTCTCCCCCCACAGCCTTCCCCCCGCTCCCTTACCCGCGGCCCCACCTTCCCCTCCCCCATGCCTGCTTCCACGGCCCGCTTTGTGCCCGCCCATGTGTCCTCTCGTCACCGTGAATCCCTCCTCCTCCTCCATGCCACTGCTGCCGCTGCCCTCTCCGTGCCTGCCCCTGCTGCCACTGCTGCTGCTACTTCTGCTCTCCCTGATGCTCACGGCGCTTCCCACATACAAGCTCACACTCGCGCACAAACCAACGCACAGTCCCTTGCTTCCCATGCACAACGCAATACACCATTTGATGCTCCCAACGCACAATCTCGTCCACATGCGCATGCACACATGCCCGTGAGCATGCCGCATGCCACACGCACAAGGCTCATGCCGCCCAGAACGCATGTGCAAACAGCGGACTCCGTACCACCGCCCGCCGGCCATGCAAGCCGCAATATGCCAATCCCCAGCTGTGCTCCTCGCAATATGCCAATCCCCAGCTGTGCTCCTCGCAATATGAATGCCCATGGCCATCCAATGGTGCGTGGTGGCGACTCAGCAGCAGGTGCAAGGGCGACTGGAAGGGCTGCTGTAGGAAGGGGGAGAGGTGTGGGAGGGGTTGTGGGGGAAGGTATGCGGGGAAGTGCAGGGGGGGGTTCGGCGGGTGTTGTAAGGGGAGGTGTGGATGGAGGTATGGGGGGAGGTGTGGGAGGAGGTGTGGGGCGAGGCGTGGGGAGAGGTGTGGGGGGAGATGTGGGGCGGGGAAGAGCACATGACACGGCTCAAGGCGGAGGGGTGGGGAGCAGAGCATGTGCTATGGGGAGGGGCGTGGCGCATAGGCAGTGTGGTGGGGGCATTGGGGGGAGAGTGGGCGGGGCTGCTGTGATAGGCGGCAAGAGGGAGACGCGGGGGAGAGTGCAGGAGGTAGAGAATGGAGAGGAGAGGGGGACGAAGGATGAGGACGAGGATGAGGAGGAGGAGGAGGAGGAGGTGGTGGTGAGAAGGCTAGTTCACCTGGACAGTGTGTCACTTTGCAAGAGGAGGACGGGGGGGGAGACGCGGGGGAGGCAGGTGGAAGTCGAGGAGGAGGAGGAAGATGAGGAGGAGGAAGATGAGGAGGAGGAAGATGAGGACACCGGGAGTGTGGTGGTACGGGTTTTCCCCCATTCGGATAGCAGTTCTGTGCACAAGTGTCACCGGATAAGGGATGAGGAGGAATGGGAGGAGGAGGAAGATGAGGAGGAGGAGGAGAGAGAGGAGGAGGGGGAGGTGCGTGTATTTCCATATGCCAATAGCGTTGCTGTGCACGAATTCAGGCAGATATGGGAGGAGGAGCGGGAAGAGGAGTCAGAGGAAGAGAAAGAGGAGGTGAAAGAGGAGAAACAGGAGGACGAGTCAGGGGAACATAGGGCTGAGGAGACAGAGGAAGAAGCAGAGGTGCGCATGTTTCCACATGCCAATAGTGTTGCTGTGCAGAAGTACAGGCAGATATGGGAGGAGGAGGAGGAGGAGGAGGAGGAGGAGGAGGAAGAGGAGGAAGTGGAGGAGAAAGAGGAGGAAGACTTGGGAGAGGAAGAAGCAGAGGTGCGTGTGTTTCCACACGCCAATAGCGTTGCTGTGCACAAATTCAGGCAGATATGGGAGGAGGATGAGAGGAAAGTGGAGGAGGAAGAGGAGGAGACAGAGGAGAAAGAGGAGGAGGAATCGGGAGAGGATAGGGCCGAAGAGGCAGAGGAGGAAGCAGAGGTGCGTGTGTTCCCACATGCCAATAGTGTTGCTGTGCAGAAGTACAGGCAGATATGGGAGGAGGATGAGGAGGAAGAGGTGGAGAATGAAGAAGAAGAGGAAGAGGGTGCAGAGGACACTCCGAAGGTTCGTGTGTTTCCTCACTCAAACAGCCTGGCTGTTGCTAGGCAGCGGAATGGAGTGGGGAATAGAGGGAGAGAGGAGGTGGAGGAAGAGGAGGACGAGGAGGATGAGGAGGAGGAGGACAAGGAGGAGGACGTGGGGACAGCGGAAGAAGCAAGGGTTCGTGTGTTCCCACATTCAAACAGTCTAGCTGTTGCCAGGCAGAGGAATAGAGATAGAGATGAGGTAGATGAAGTGGAGGAAGCGGAGGACGAGGAAGAGGAGGAGGAGGAGGAGGAGGAGGAAGACGAGGACGAGGAGGAGGAAGAGGATGCCAATGTGCGTGTCTTCCCCCATGCCAACAGTGTAGCTGTGCACAAGTACAAGGAGATATGGGGGAGTTGAGGAGGAGAAGGTGGATGGCAGGGCTTTTTTTTGGATTTCCACTACTCGGATCTCCAGAGCTGTTTTCTAGGGAACTCTGAAATTCAGGGTTAATTATGAGCGTTACTCTGATTTGTCAGAGAAAACTTAACTTCTGAAAATATGCTCTGGGCAGTCAGTGAAACTATTTTTTCAATTCTGAGTGTCCTCTCAAGTATTGAACCCAGGCCTTCTGCACTCGTACCAAAACTATAACCGTTGCGCTACGGGCTTACAAATCTGGTTGCTGACGGAATTTACTGTACCTTGTCTGCCTAACCATCTTCCACCAATTGGGGGGGGGCTCGGTCGAAATGCCTATACGGTACCCTGTACAGAGAAAAATACCTTCGCCACAAATATACACTGGTCTCTCAGAGTAGCTAAAATCAGAACCCTGACAAATCAGAGAAAACTTATCTTCCAAAACAATTACCCAGACACGTCAGAGTGACCCCCTAGAAACCACTCTGATTTTCAGAGAAACAGAGTAATTTACTCTGATAAAAAAATCCCTGGTGGATGGTGATGGGGGGTAAGTGGTGAGCGGAGGGCAAGGCGTGTGGGAAGGGACGGAATCAGGGGAGGGTAGGTAACTGGATGGGCTGTTTAGAGAGGAGGCGGATGCATGACACCTAACAGTATGCAAGATTAATATGGGAGGGTGTATGCATTTGTGCGATGCACTGGTAGGCGTTTTTGGATCCCACATGTACATAGTATTGTTTTAAAATAGTCAACCCGCGTTACCGTAAATGCTACGTGGAACTCTTGTTTCTTCAGCTGACAGCTCTTGTTAATTTCACTATTTTTTTTTCGTAATCTCTGTAAAAAATGTATTATCTACGCATCAGCCGAATCCGCAGCAACACTTCCCTCGAGCTCTGCGTCCTCGAATTCTCCTCGGTTGACTTCCCCAAAAATTTGCCACGTCAACTCCCCCAACCTTTCTGCAACCCCCGCGCACCTGCCAGCGAACCCAGCCAGTCAAACGAGCCCGCAGCAGGAAGCCCAGCGCGTCAGCTCAGCTGGTGTCAGCGCGTGGACTCAATTTTCACCCATGAATGCCTTTCACTTCACCTATCAAGTCCAGTGGCCAGTCTCATTCCACGCCTTAGTCATTCACATCACTCTTGCTCGTGCTATGGTGGCTCGCAGTGCTCTATCCGTCGCTTACGGCTGTGATTCAGATAATACGTATCAATCGTATCGATTGCCGATATTTGCCAGTTACTCGTGGCATGTATATCGCTAGGCATGCGATGGTTCGCCAGACACGCGATGGGAATTGCGAACCAGCGTTTTTTAGGGTCTCGCGATACTGAGTCGATTCATCACCTGAACCAAACCGCCATATTGTTTTGCACCGCACGAATCCTGAAGAGCCACCGTGTGTCATACCTGCTACTTTCTGATGATACCAACCTAGACATCACCATGCGTCGTTTACCCTTGGCTTTCAGACGCGACGCTTTTCCACCAGCCTGTTCATAATAGGGTAGATTCCTTGTATTTCTTGATCCGTATTGATCAGCCAAACAAGTCATATCAGATATTTCCACACGGTCTCCCAAGAGGCTTTAATCAGCTTAGACTGTTCACCCCTCGCTATACAGTATCCGAAGGATCGTTCTTCTTTTCCGCCATACCTAATTGGGGACCCCGCAATGGCGGCAGCGACGGCGGGTTGCGCGTGCGCGTGCCACGGGGAGTGGTCGGCGGCGGTGGTGGCGCTGCGGCAGCTGGAGGAGTGGCAGAGTCGCGCCGCGCAGTACATAACCCTGCTGGAGAACGAAAAGGCGGCGGCCGACGCGCAGTTGGCGCAGCTTCAGGAGACGCGCGCCACGGAGGTGCGGGAGGGGAGGAGAGGAAGGGGGAAGGGAAGTTGGGGGAGGGGGGGGGAAGGGGGCGGTGAGGGAGGAGGGGAAGGAGGAGGGGGGGTGAGTGGGTGGTAATTTTGGTTTTAAAAAAGGTTGAGAAGTGAGTCTCCATTTAGCGTTTCAATTTCAGCCTTTCCCCTCGTCCCCTCTCCCTGTTCCCCCTTCCCTTTTTCCCTCTTCCCCCTCTCCCCCGCTCAGGCCCGGGCGTGGGAGGAGCGAGTGAGGGCGGCGGAGGGCGCAGTCCAGCGCGCGGAGGAGGAGAGGCGGAGGGAGGGGGAGAGAATGGAGGAGGAGAGAAGAAAGGTGGCGGAGAGAGTGGAGGAGGAGAAAAAGCGGGAGGGGGAGAGAGTGAGGGAGCAGGCAGAGAGGCAGGGGCGACTGAGGGAGGTGCATCTGCAGACGCGGCTCAGTCAGCAGCAGCAGGAGATAATTCGCCGGGATAGAGCAGCCATGTACGGAACAAACCGCACTGACATCACCCTCGTTTGAGGCTCTTTTTCCATGCATTTATTTTCTTTGTGGCTCACTTCAAGCCTTTCTCGTGCCATGAACCCCTGCTTGTTCTTCTCCCATGCTTCAAACCCCCACCCCCCCCCTCCACCCCCCTCTCCTCCCAACATTCCCCTCCATTCTCTTCCATTCCCCTCCATTTTCTTCCACTTCCCTCCTTTTATCTCCATGCCCGTCCATTCGTTTCCTGGATCTTCACCCGTTGTGTGGTCCTGTTTCTCATCCCTATCCCCATCATGTGCCACCACCATCACGCTCCCCATGGCAGGGAGATCCACGTGTTCTGGCAGGAGGCAGTGAGGGAGCGCAATGAGGCGGTCATGGGGACGAAGCAGGCGCACAGGGAGCTGCGGAGCAGAGACCAGGCGGACAAGGAGAAGGTAGGTCAAAGTCAAGAAACATGAGTTTCAGTATCGTTTCGTTTTCTTGCTACCATCCCAAAATCCTTGTTGGGCTGCATTGCACCTTCTCTTCAGTTATGGCTGCCTTTCCCCCTCGTCTTTTCCAATCGCAAGAGATTTGTACAAATTTGTTTGTTTTTTGGATGGCGTGATCATCCATCCTCACCACACATGTGCATACATGTGCGGATTGCGATGCAACGGCAGGTGGAAGTGACCAAGGCGTTGATGCGGCAGTGTGAGGAGTGCCGCAAGGAGAAGGACAGCGCGTTGCAGGCGCTGGCTGGCGTGCGGAAAGAGAATGAGGCTCTTGAGGTCAACCTGCAGCGCCAGGGGAAGGTGAGAATGGTTGTTGTTGTGGTGGTTATGATGGATGTGTGGCATGCACTGGCCGGCGTGCGGCGAGAGAATGAGGCTCTTGAGGTCAACTTGCATCGCCAGGGGAAGGTGAGAATGGTTGTTATTGTGGTGGTTATGATGTCTTTATGTTGAGGATGGCCTGCAGGCCGTGCTGGTACATCTGGACTTCGTACATGCCCCACGACACATAAACCACTTCTCCCCTCTCCCACTCCTCCCTCCGCCTCCCCCCTTCCCCCTGCAAGCAGGTGATATCGTGGCTGATAGGTCTGAACTCGGAGCTGGTGGAGTGCGGTGAGGCGCTGCAACAGACAATTGCCGAAGCACCAAAATCATCAGCCACATTCGCCCCCCCACCCGCCCCCACCCGCTTCCACATGCACCAGGTGATAGAGCGGGTGATAGAGCGGGTGATAGACCTCAACTCAGAGCTGGCAGAAGGCAACGAGGCGCTGCAGCAGACAATCACTGAGGCGCCGTAAGAATCAACCACACTTTCCTCCCCCATCCGCTCCCCCCTCATCCCCCTTCGCCCCACACGCCCCTCTCCCCCTGCAAGCAGGTGATAGAGCGGGTGATAGATTTGAACTCGGAGCTTGTGGAGGGCAACGAGGCGCTGTAGCAGCGGCAGAGGGAGATGGAGAGGCATGCGGGGGAGATGCCTCACACCTCATCATATTACACGTTACCCACACCTTCCCTCCCCCTCCCCCGCCCCATTCCCTTGCAAGCAGGTGATAGAGCTGCTGATCGACCTGAACTCGGAGCTGGTGGAAGGCAACGAGACGCTGCAGCAGGTGATTACTGTGGCGCCCTAAGAATCAACCACGCTTTCCTCCCCCATCCTCTCCCTGCTCTCCCCCTCCCCCGCCCCATTTCCCTGCAAGCAGGTGATAGAGCGGCTCATCGACCTGAACTCGGAGCTGGTGGAAGGCCACGAGGTGCTGCAGCAGCGGCAGAGGGAAATGGTTTCTGAGATACTCTCATTGCGGAGGCATGGTGGGGACGTGGGAGGGGCTGATAGTGGGGGAGTGGGAGAGGGAGGGGGAGAGAGTGAGGGAGAGGTACAGGGAGAAGGAGACGGAGAGAAGGAAACAGTGAGACAGAAGGAAGGACGCGAGCAGCAAGAGAAGGGGCGGACAGAGGTGTTGGAAGCAGCGCAGGGAAGGGGAGGAGAGGAGCATGGGGCAAGAGATGGCCGTGCGATCAGCAGGATGCCAGGTGGGAGAGGGATGGATGAGAGGGCAGGTGGCGGGGATGGTGAAGGGAGTGGGGGCGGTGGAGGCGAAGCAGGGGAGGAGGATGGGGACGACGGGCCCGTTCCAGTGTCATGCTTCCCCACAGAACAACCCCCCTCGTTACAGTCGCATGCAGGCGGATTACTGGGTGACAGCCAGCAAGCAACGCCCTCTTTCTTTGCGTTCTTCTCGAGTAAGCCCGCTGCTGGACCCCCTGGTGCTGCTGCTGCTCCTGCTTCTTCTGCCCCTGCTGCCACTACTGTTGCTGCTGATACCACTGCTGCACCACCACCCACTGCAGCAGCAGCAGGGCCATCCAGAACTGGTTCTAGTGCTGGCAGTGCCCCTTCCGGCCCCATTGATCCTGCAGCTGCCACTGCCCATGTTCATGATACCAGCAGCAATGCTGAAACGTCTTGGGACCACCGCCCAAGAGGGGATTTGGGAGCAAATTCAGTGCGGCAACAGGACGGTGATGGTGGTGTGCGGGCAGAGGGAGGGATGGCAGAAGGGGAGTGTGATAGAGAGAACACGGGTGGACGGCAGGGTAGAGATGGGGTGGGCTTCAGAGGTGGTGGGCGGGAAGGAGGAGCAGGGAGAGAGTCAGCGAGGGGCAGCAGTGGTGGGAGCAGCTGCATTGGCGGTGCACACGCAATGCATCAGCAGCAAGACAAGGAGAGGGGAGGGCAGCAGCAGGGATCCGTGCAATTGATTCCAGACCAGCAAGGAAGGGCGACGAGCTCTGCATCTGCCAGTTCTGGTTCCGGAGGGGATACAGGCGATGATGCCATACCTGTGGCTTCTCAAGCTCTCTCTGCTTCTGCGCCTGCTGCTACTCCTTCTGGTCCCGTAGAATATAGGGATGAATTGCTTGCAACGGGGCCTGCAATTGGTGAGGTAGGAAATGCAAGGGGTGATTCGCATTCAGACCAAGCCACAGGTTTGGACAATGCGGGAGACATAGGCGTCATGGTGGAGAACAATCAGCCGGATGTCGCATGGCAAAGGAATAACCAGAAACGACTAGGAGCTGCGTGGAGTGCTGTGAGGGGAAACGCCAAAGGATTATTTTCGTACATTGTGGGAGCAGATAAGGTGACTGTAGGCTCATGAGTCATGAATGATGATAAGTCCGATTCTTTTGATGGAATTCGTATTCTTGAGCTGTACAGCTCGCTGTTAGCATTGTATCATTGTACACTAAATCGAGAACAGTCAAAGTGTGCGACCCAACCCAACCCAGCTTGCAGGAGTGCAGAAGTGGGGGAGGGACCTCCTCGTTGGCTGTCCTCGTCAGCAAAGGTCGAGTGACAGATCAACCATGTTCCGAAAAACAGTGCATCTGTGGTTGCTGTTTGTCAGCGCGGGCAAGTGAAATAATTGCGTCGATATAAATGCAGTCGGGCAAAAGCCTTACGTGATTGGTTGGGCTGCTTGGCTCAGGTAACTGGGAGAAAGTAGTATTTTCGCGAACTGTCGCGAAACTGTTTGGGAATGTCGATAAAATATTGCGAAATTGTATGCGAATTCTCGCTGCCTCAAACTACTGTGCCTCCTCACCATACAAGCACGTGCCCAAACGGTGAGCGCATGGGCAAGCGACGACAGCCGGCATGAAAGCATTTTCTAACGGCGGCTCGTTATGTACAGAACGGAACACGAAGAAAATACTGGAGCCCGTGGGATCAAAATTGGTAGGTACTGTACACTCGCCTAGAAATCAAGAGAACCTGCCCGCCCTTCTCCAAGCCCCTCTTCACCTTCCCTCGAAATTGTTCCACTCGCCCCTCCTCCCTCTCTGGGATGGGATGGCAAGCACCTGCATCTGTTTCCCTCCAACCACCGCCGCCATTATTGAAAACAGGTTCAGCTCAAGTTCAGTTTCGACCTACCTACCTCATTTGCAATAGGTTTCTTCCCATGTTTGCGTTCGTTATTTATGACGCGCCTCTGATATATCTCAATCTTGTGAGTTGTCAACATTTGTGCGGTTGTTAGCATTTTATAACGAAACTAGAGCTAGGCACTGTCAACCCAAGGAGAAATTGGACATTTTTCACGTCTTCACGTTGGCTAGCCCCTCTCGTGCCAACAATAGCTAAAGCCTACAATACGGAAGGAGTTTGCGAGATAGTTCCGTTCAGTCACTCCTTAACATCATCTCTTTAAATATTCACTCAAATGCCACCCATGGACGATAATTTAGGATTTGATTTTCCGATACCTTTGAAACCAGAAGACGACAACCCTGAAACCAATCCCAATTCTGGAAGCTACCCAGTCGCCGATAGAGAAGCGGGAAGCGACCGCGGAGGGGGAGGTGGAGGTGGAGGCGGAGGCGGAGGCGGAGGCGGTGGATGGCAAGGGGAAGACGTGGAATGGCAAGGGGGTCCGATGTCAGACTTCCAGGGCCTTCCGTCTCGGGTAGAGCCCGAGCCTGCTGACGTGGAAGGCATGAATGTGCCAATGCCGGATGTGACTCTACGAGACGAGCTCTCCGAGTCGCTGATGCCGCTCAAATGGGTGCTGTTTCCGGAAGCCGACCCGGTACAGCAGTTTCGTGATAAGACGTGGAAGGAGAAGATTTGGATATTCCTAGTGGGAGTGTTTCCGATTCTGTCATGGCTGCCGAAATACGATCTACGGTTCTACCTGCTCGGCGACATCATCGGAGGGCTCTCCATCGCCATCATGTCCGTGCCGCAGGTGAGACGCTGATGCCAGGTCCGTGCCGCAGGTGAGGCTTCGACGCCATGTCCGTGTCGCAGGTGAGTCGTCGCCAGGTCCGTGCCGCAGGTGAGTCGTCGCCAGGTCCGTGCCGCAGGTGAACCGCCGACGCCGTGTTCGTGGTGCAGGTGAGGCCTTGACGTACCGCGGGGTTGCGCGTCGACGCAATGTTGGCCGCAGTAAGTGCCCATTTCAAAGATATCAATTCAACCTTCTTATGTAGGCTCCTTTTCGAGAGTGAAGCAGCACGTCTGTAAATAAAAAGAATCATTTCTTACAGCAACAAGCACAATGAAATATCACATCATCCCATCCTCTCGTTCCCGTTTCCCCCTCGCTCTTCCCCTCAACGCCAACGTCAGGATGTATCGTACGCCAAATACGCCAACGCGCCCAAGGAGTTCGCTCTCTGTAAGCCTCTCTCGCCCTTCATTGTTGCCTCAGTTCCCTACCCGCCTCCCCTAACCACACCGTTCTTAACCAACTCCCACCTCTGTCAGTCGCGTTGCCTTCTCTAATGACTCTTGCCTTGCTGCCCTGACACATGGTGATAGGCCTGGTGTCAATGTTGCCTTTTCAGCGCCAAAACAACCCCCTTCCACCGCTCTCAACCACACTCACCTCCCTCGTCCCCCCCTTCCAGACACGAATTTCTTGCTGCCGTTGATGTACGCGATCCTAGGGTCGTCGAAGCACATGGTGATAGGGCCAGTGTCGGTGGTATTTTTTCAGCGCCTCAATAAGCCCCCTTCCACCGCTCTCAACCGCTCTGGCCCCCCTCATCCCTCCTCCAGACACGAGTTTCCTGCCACCGTTGATGTACGCGATCCTTGGCTCATCGAAGCACATGGTGATCGGGCCGGTGTCGGTGGTGTCGCAGCTGCTGGGCGAGCAGCTGAGCGCGCAGGTGGATCCCACCACGGACCCCGCCCTCTACAACTCGCTGCTCACCACCACCACCTTCCTCTGCGGCCTCTTCCAACTCGCCATGGGGCTCCTCAGGTGGGAGGGGAGCAGAGAAGGTGGGTGGGAGGTGGGGCGTGGTGGGACATAGGGGGTGCTCAGGTGCGGCCTCTTCCAGCTTGCCATGGCGCTCCTCAGGCGCGCCACAGGGATGCGCAGGTGCGCAGGGGGTGCACCATCGGATTGCAGCAGCTGAAGGTTTCGCTCACCCTCCACTTACTCTCCCCTCCCAACCCCTCTCTTCCCCCCACAGAATGGGCTTTCTGGTCAACCTGCTCAGCCAGCCCACCATTGCTGGGTTCCTGGCGGGGTGCTCGCTCACCATCGCGCTGCAGCAGCTGAAGGTGCTGCTCGCCCTCCCTTGCCTTTCCCCGCCCTCCCTTGCACTTCCCCCGCCCTCTCGTCTCTTCCCCACAGAATGGGGTTCCTGGTGGATCTACTGAGCCAGCCCACCATCGCGGGGTTCCTGGCGGGGTGCTCGCTCACCATCGCGCTGCAGCAGCTGAAGCCCATTCTGGGGTACAGGGACTTCACGCTCAGCACCAGTGTTGTCAACATCTTCAAGGCTGTTGCCGAGTACTCTGATGAGGTGGGTGCTATGTCATGGTGTGCGGTGCTGTGCAGTGCTGTGCGGTGCTGTGCAGTGCTTCCTGACCTTCACGCCTCTATCTTCTCCCCCACGTGCCTCCATTCTGCATGGCTCAATCCCCCTCTATCCGCTCTCCCATGCGCTTATTTGTCCCCCCATGTTCTCATCCCATGTGCATGGTGCAATTCTAATGGCGTGCCTTCGTCCTTGGTTTTTATCGCTGACCCCCCCACCCTCCCACGTGCCTAATCCTCCTTTATCCCCTCCCCTCCCCCCCCCCCCCCTCCCCCCTTCCCCCGTGTACTCAACCCATGCATGGTGCAGTTTCAATGGCGTGCATTCGTCCTCGGCTCCTCCTTCTTTATCGCCCTCACCATCCTCCGCATTCTCGTAAGTCACATGCCTCCGCCCCTTGCCATCCCATCCCATCCCATCCCATCCCATCCCATCCCATCCCATCCCATCCCATCCCACCCACCACTTTCGCACAGTATCCCACTGCACCCCACTGGAAGCTTGATCCGTATGTCATGTGATGTGGCGTGGCATGCATGGCCCCTATGCCAGGAAGTGACAGGCATGTTGTGGAAAGGCTATGCTAAGTGGGAATATACGCTCAAACCTGTTTGCGTTTAGCGTATACACGCTAGCGTGTATACGCAAAACGCTAAACGCTATCGAATACGCTATACGCTCGCCAAAATTTTTTTGGGGCAGCCCGGCCAGAAAATTTCAACCTATACGGTTCGCTTCGGAATTGCACGACGAAGACATTGGCGGGGTCAGATGGCACGTCCGCGCTGTGTGCTAGCGTGGACGTGGGTTGAAAGTTCGTGTCGCAAATGGAAAGTCACGTTCGTCGAGTCGCGCCTGCACGTTCCCTCACATTTTGGTGTTCACTATCAGTACCGCATTCAAACCCTTCGCAACCAACACCTCTCCAATTTTTGTTGGCCATCTTCCCACTCCCACAATCAACTCGCCATAAAACAAGCACACCCCCAACATCCAACTCATTAGGTCTTCTCTCGCTACCAGCAGAGCACTAGGCATTCCCTAGCGCATGGTGCCTATGTCGACGAGTACTACCTCTCCTCTAACGCCACCGTCAGTTAACACCGTTGGCAGTTCGCAAACTCTTCTAACCGAGGCACGGGAGTATCTCCCCGACGTTGACCATGCCGTCTTCAAGCACTTCCGCATCATCAAGAGGGTCGAGGGAAAAGCTCAGCAGTACGAGTGCAAGTTCTGCAGCAACGTCTACACTGGTGCTGCCATCCGATGCGCGCAACACTTCACGTCGTGGAAGGGGATGAAACGCCGTGAAGTGGTGCTTTGCAAGGATGCGCCGCAAGATGTGCGCTTGGCCATGCGCGCGAAATACGAGGCAAAGGCTGCTGCGGCCGAAGAGAAGAGGCGGGCAGCAGCTGAAGCGGTTGCCGCGGTCAAGGCTAATGGTGTGAAGCGGGCGCGCATCACCGATTACCTTGATGGGGATGCGGCTGCAAGAAAGAGAGAAGCGGACGAGGCACTTGCGCTTGCTTGGGCCGCCCTCCATATCCCCGAGCGCCACATTGACCATCCTCTGATGGTCAATGCATTGAACCTCGTCAAGCGCGCCGGCGTCGACTACGTCCCTCCCAAGAGGAAATACATCGGCGGTGCTGGCCTTCTCTCGTGTCGCAACGGAATCGAGCAGGGTTTGGTGGGCATTAAGGCGAGCTGGAAGAGGACGGGCGTGACGGTTTCGTCCGACATGATGACGGACCGCAACGGCAGGCCGCAGGCCAACGTGCTTCTCGTAAACGATTCCGGCGCCGTCTTCACCGACTGTATTGACTGCAACATGGAGAGGAAAACCGGAGGTTACGTGGCGGGAATTCTTAGGCCCGTGGTGGAGGAAGTGGGCCCAGAAAACGTTGTTGCGTTCTGCATGGACGGGGGGTCGAACTATGCGGTGGCGGTGAAGCAGCTCTTACAGGAGTGGCCACACATTCAGGATGTGCCGTGCGCCACTCACGTATTGGATCTTCTCATGGAAGATGTCGGGAAGATGGGATGGGCTAAGCCGGTGGTCGACAAGGGAGGGGAGATATCTAGCTTCGTCCGCAACCACCACTGGACCCGAGGGTACCTGCGGAAGCCGGAATTGGTGGAGGGGAAGGTTCTGCAGGCGCTGAAGCCGGCTGGAACCCGATTCGGGACCAACTACATAGCCATATCCCGGCTATGTGCGATGCGCGGCAGCCTTACCAACATGGTGACGAGCGAGGGTTGGAAGGAGTGGGCGGTAGGGGACCGGAAGAAATCGTGTGACGGGTTCAGTGCGCTGATCCATGATGCCGCCTGGTGGAAGACGGCCGAGTTCTTCGTCGCACTGCTGAAGCTGCCCTTTAAGGTGATGAGGCAGACGGACGGGCATGCCGTGGGGATGATGGGGAGGCTGTACGATTTGATGCTGCAGTTGACTGAGGACGTGGGGGGCTTGCTCGATGCGGACGAGGAGCAGCTGAGCGACGGGGACAAGGACAAGATCCGCCGCATCCTCAGAGACCGCTGGGACGGCAGCCTCGCATGCGCCATGCATGTCGCTGGCCGCATCCTCAACCCCGCGAATCAGGAGGAAGAAATTTTCGGCACTGATCCCGAGTGCACGAAAGTCTTCAAGGCGTTCATCAGCCAGCAGGCCGAGTTCCTTGCGAGCCGCGAGGATGGGGGGGATGACGCGTGCGACATCTTGCTTGAGCTGGGGGACGGGCTGAGGGCGTTCCTTGACATGAAGGGTTCTTTTGGGATGCCGGAAGCCGTGGCACAGAGGAAGCTGGTGAAAGAGGGAAAGTATAGCATGGTGAAGTGGTGGCAGTGGAATGGGACTGATGCCCCTCGAGTGGTGGGGCTCGCGGTACGGGTGCTGTCTCAGGAGGTGTCAGCCTCACCTTGTGAGCGTGGATGGTCCTCGTGGGATGCCGTTCACACCGCACGTCGCAACAGGCTCGGATCCGCCAAGTGCAGGGACTTGGTCTATGTTGCGCACAACTGGAATGTTGTGCGCAACTGGCACACGCGCGTTGATGTCTTGCCACATGTGGTGCCCGGGATTGGAGCGGAGCCTCCAATCCCGGCGGGATACAATGGGCTGGAAGACGAGACGAAGGGAGAGGATGAGGAGGAAGGCGAAGACGACATCCTCGAAGACGAGTACGCTAACTAGAGGGGGCAAATGTGGCTTGTTGTGGGCGGCTAGTCCTAAGGAGTAGTAGTATGTAGCTTGTCTTAGAGAGAAGTGATGGTCGTGATGGAGTAGTGATGATTGTAGTGATGGTAAGTGATGATAGTAGTGATGATAGTGATGATAGTAGTGATGACAGTAGTTATGTGTAGGCCGTGGTATATGTGTAATGTGGAAAAAAAAAATCTCTGAAACTTCAGGCCCCATACCCCACCCCCATACCCCCCCCCCCCCCCCCCCCCCCCCCCCCCCCCCCGGGCCTTTTTTTGACCCTGCCCGGGAAGTTTTTTTTCTGCCCGAAAAAGCGTATTTCCAAACCCGTCCCTACAGCGTATAGCGTATATAAGAGTGCGTATATACGATAAGCGTATATACGCAATAAGCGTATATTCCCACTAAGAGGCTATGCCGTGGCCAAATCGTTGTGCCATGCCATGAAATCGAAACGCCATGATCATCATTACCTAGGCCATGTGCATTCGATTCATAGCAGGCCTGTCAGTGCAGGCAGGCCAACATGTAGCAAAAGGGCAGCAATTCACCATTCCTTCCATTCCTGTGCCTGCCATGCCATGCCACACCGTGCCATCTCATGCCATGCAATGCCACGTCATGCCACACCATCCCATGGCATCCCATTCCATGCCATGCCATGCCACGCCATGCAATGCCGCCCACCAGACGAAGATGTACCCAAAGAGCAAGACCCTCTTCTATGCCAACGCGCTGGGTCCCATCTCCTCTATAGTCCTCTCCACTATCATCGTGGGCTCCTCCGGCATGTACAACAAGGGTGTAGCCACGGTGAGTGCAGGCTTTAAGGTTGTGCACTCACACACACGCACACACGCACACACGCACCCACGCATACAGACAATCGCATTCCCAGTCGTCCATTCCACTTTGTCTTTCCCTCCCTCCCCTGTTCCCTCCCTCATGATCCCCCCTAACTCCCCCCCTTCCATTCCTCCACATGGCCTCACATGCTTGCTTTCATGCATGCAGGGGGGCAGCATAAGGGTGCGGTTAGCTCGCATGTCATCTGTGTGACCCATCCACTCTCGTTCCACTCCCCTTGTGTCTTCCCCCTCATCTATTCCCCACCCTGCCCTGCCGTTTCACACACACAGGTGGGCAGCATACAGACGGGCCTGGGAGGCATGTCATCGGTGTGACCCCTCTCATCCCACTCCCCTCTTTCCCCCCCTCTCCCCCACTGCCTCTCACTCACCCCCTGCCCTTTCACGAACACAGGTGGGCAGCATAACCACAGGGCTGGGGGGCATGTCATCGGTGTGGGACATTGATCTGCACAACGAGTACACCGATGAGGTCGCCCTCATCGCGCTCTACGCTGCCTTGGTCTCGCTCGCTGTGAGTAACCAGACGCCCTCACTCACGGCTTGCTGCGCTTCAACCCCTCCTTCTCTCGCCACAACGAGTACACCGATGAGGTCGCTCTGATTGCCCGTCTATGCTGCCTTGGTCTCGCTTGCTGTGGGTAACTAACCCCCCCTCCCCTGCTCTTCCCCTTCCCCTCCCCCACCCCCCCCTCCCTCCCCCCCTCCCCCCTGCTCTTCCATCCCCTTCCTCTTCCACACTTTCCTCTCCCCCTCCAATTATCCCTTTGACCCCTTCCCCACTCCCCCCTGCACGTGGTTCTGCTCGTGTGTGTTGCAAGCGCATTGTATCATTTCAGGCTCATTGGGCCTGCCCATCTGCAATCTCTGTTCTTGTATTCCTTTTCTAATTCTATTTTTTTATATTTTTTTTCTTAAATCGATGTAATGTTTACTGTGTGTTTAGGAATCGATTGGCATAGGGCGCACATTTGCGGGCATGTATGGTTACCACATTGATGGTAACAAAGAGGTGCGTAATGACATTCTTTCACACTCGCGATTGCACTTTCCCTCAACCACACTTACTTGCAACCACACTCACTCTCTTGCTTTCTAACAGACCTCACTCACTCGCCTTCTCAAGAAGCTCCCCACTCTTGCTTTCTCAAGAAGCTCCCCACTCTTTTCTGTCGCCTCCTCCTCACCCTTCCTCAGCTCAACTCCCTCCCTCACCAACCCCTCTCCCTCCCTCGCATCCTCTCCTTTCCACGCCTCCTCACCTCTTGGTCGCCAGCTAATTGCCTCATGCTCCTGTCAAACCCTCAATCGCACCCATTTCCCAACCAAACTCACAGTAGCGATCAAATTCCCTCTCTTCTCCCTCTCTCCCCCTCCCGCCCTGCCCCCCCCCCTCTTCGCCTCCTCTCCCACCTCACCTCATCGCCTACAGCTCATAGCCTACGGAGCCATGAACCTCTCAGGCTCCTTCACCTCCTGCTATGTCGCCACAGGTACGCTGCGATCTAATTCGTTGACAAGCGGTGAGCTTGCTTAGTCCAAGCAAGCACGGTGTGTGCACGCTTGCTCTGAGATCCCTACACCGCTGCTGCTGTTCCCACCCGGTGAGCTGGAGAGGAGAAGAGAGTACCACACATGTGCACTGCACAGGTGCACCAAGCACGAGCGCCCCACCAGTCTTGTAAAGCCTCTCTCAAGGCACATCTCTCAAGGCACCTCTCTCAAGGCACCTCTCTCAAGGCACCTCTCTCAAGGCACCTCTCTCAAGGCACCTCTCTCAAGGCACCTCTCTCAAGGCACCTCTCTCAAGGCACCTCTCTCAAGGCACCTCTCTCAAGGCACCTCTCTCAAGGCACCTCTCTCAAGGCACCTCTCTCAAGGCACCTCTCTCAAGGCACCTCTCTCAAGGCACCTCTCTCAAGGCACCTCTCTCAAGGTACCTCTCTCAAGGCACCTCTCTCAAGGCACCTCCTGCAATGCCTATCCTGTGGCCATCCGTGCGTTCCTGCATAAACCCAACCAAATCCCCTCTTCCCCTCTCTCCCCTGCCCGGCTCCCTTTCTTCCCCCCACCAGGCTCCTTCTCCCGCACGGCAGTGAACATCCTAGCGGGGGCGCACACGGCGCTGACACAGATCATCCTCTCCTTCACCATGCTTATCGTGCTGCTTGCTGCTGCTCCCGCCTTCAAATATGTGCCCGCTGTACGGCCCCTCATTCTTCCCCCTCCTTTTGCCGTCCAATCCGTGCATAGTGCAAGTTTCCCCTCCGTCCGGTGTGCCCGCTTCCACCTTCCCTCCGCTTCCACTTTACCTCCGCTCCCACTTTACCTCTGCTTCCTCCTTTTTACTTTCACTTACCTTCCAATACGCTCCCAGAGTATACCCCACTCCCCCCACCTTCCTCCTGCCTTTTGCCTCCTGTGTCCTGCCTTTTGCCTCCTGTGTCCTGCCTTTTGCCTCCTGTGTCCTGCCTTTTGCCTCCTGTGTCCTGCCTTTTGCCTCCTGTGTCCTGCCTTTTGCCTCCTGTGTCCTGCCTTTTGCCTCCTGTGTCCTGCCTTTTGCCTCCTGTGTCCTGCCTTTTGCCTCCTGTGTCCTGCCTTTTGCCTCCTATGTCCTGCCTTTTGCCTCCTGTGTCCTGCCTTTTGCCTCCTGTGTCCTGCCTTTTGCCTCCTGTGTCCTGCCGTGCCTCCTGTGCGAGCATTGCACCCTCGCACACCCACATCGCTCCTTTCAATACCAGTATTCCCTTTCCCTCAATAGGCCCCTCTTCCCTGTTCCCTTCTCCCCATGCCCTCCCGCTCTCCCCTTCCTCGTCCCCTTCTCGAATGGTCCTCCCCCACGTCCCTCCCTCCCCCCTTTTGCAGTGTGTGGTGGGAGCAGTCATCGCCAATTCTGTGCTTAACCTGGTACTGCCCTCCTCCCTATCTCCCTCCTCCCTACCTCCCTCCTCCCTATCTCCCTCCTTGCTCCTCGCATCGCCGATCTTTCCGGATTCTCCCTCTTCCCTCCTTCATCCCCTTGCCCCCCACCTCCTTCCCTTTCATCTCTGCTCCTCCCCCGTTTCTTCTTACTCACATACCTCAACGTGCCCCTCCATTAGCTGCTCCCACTTGCCCCCCCCATCATCTGTTTCCCCCTATCGCCTTGCTCCCTCCCCTCCTCCCCATCATTGTTCCCCCCCCACCCATTTTGTAGCCATGCTCACTTGCTTCCCTTCTTCCCCCGTCCCATCCCATCCCCTCCCATCCATACCCCTCCCCCCTCTCAGCTGGACTTTAAAGCCGCATTTCAAATCTGGAGGGTGAACACGCTCAACTTCATACTCATGCTCGCCTGCTTCCATCGACCCTTGTCCCCTGGTTTCCCCTCCCACCTGTCCCCCTCCTCCCCCCCGTTCTCAGCTGGACTTCAAGGCAGCGTTTACGATCTGGAGGGTAGACAAACTAGATTTCATGGTCATGCTCGGCTGCTCCCAACACCTGTTCCCCCTATTGACCTAAACCCTTTCTCCGTTCTTTCCCCCCATCAGCTCGACTTCAAGGCAGCGTTTACGATCTGGAGGGTAGACAAGCTGGACTTCATGGTCATGCTCGGCTGCTTCCTCGGGATCATCTTCGGCTCGCCCGAGATCGGCCTGCTAGTCGCCTCCGTCCTCTCTGTCCTCAAGCTCCTCCTCCGCATTGTCCGCCCGCACATCCGCCTGCTCGGGCTGCTCCCGGGCGGCGCCGCTACAGCCGTGAGCGTGCTACAGTTCCCCAACAGCACGCTGTGCGAGGGGATCGTGATGCTGAGGATTGAGAGCCCGCTGTACTTCCCTGCTGCGAATTTCTGCCGGCAGCGCATCAAGAAGCTCTGTGATGCGTATGCGAGGGGGTACCAGCAACCCGTGCGGGTGAGTCTGGTGATTTTGCTGCTGTAGAGGGCTTGGTGAGGGGTTAGTGAGGATGGGGGGTTGGGGAGGATAGAGAGCCGCTGTATTTCCCTGCCACGATTTTGTGCAGGCAGCGCATCAAGAAGCTGTGTGATGCGTATGCGAGAGGGTACCAGCAACCTGCACGGGTGAGTGAGTCCAATTGATTCTGTTGTGAGCGAGGGGCTTGGGAATGGTTCCTGAGGTTGGGGGGTTGGGGGGATTGATAGCCTGCCTGTACTTTCCTGGGGCTGATTTCAGCTCACACTCTCTTCCTCGTTGCGACCCTACGGCATTGCATTCTAGACTTGCCCGTCACGCATGACATTGACGTGTTGCCCAATGCACTGCCCCTCTCTTTCCCACCAATACTTCCACTCCCTCTCCTCCCTCTCATCCCCTCACTCCCTCCCCCAAGTTTCTCCTCCTCCCACCTTCAACATTGCATTCCCATGAGTGTCATGCACGATATTGACGTGTTGCTTGCCGCATGTCCTATCCTTCCTTTCCTCCTCGCCTCCCAACAGCACTGCATTCTCGATCTGAGCGTCATGCACGACATCGACGTGTCGGGCATCGACGGGTTGAAGGAGCTCCACCGAGACCTGTCTGAGAAGAGCATTCAGGTACTGACGGGTGGAGTGTTAAGGCTAAGCGGTAAAAGATTTAGGGTCGTGCCTTGGTGAGTGATGTCGTGAGCAGCGAGGGTCGTATGCAACCCCTCTGCAGCTCTGCCTATCCAGTGCATCAAGGGACGTGCTGTGCAAGCTGCGGGACGCCAATTTCCTGGTCGAGATGGGAGAGCAGTGGCTCTTTGTCACCCCCCTAACCTCACCTCTCTCACTCCCACCCCACCTCACCCCCATTTACCCTCACTCCCTCCCAGCTCTGCCTATCCAGTGCATCAAGGGACGTGCTGCGCAAGCTGCTGGACGCCAATTTCCTCGTCGAGATGGGAGAGCAGTGGCTCTTTGTCACCCCCCTAACCTCACCTCTCTCACTCCCACCCCACCTCACCCCCATTTACCCTCACTCCCTCCCAGCTCTGCCTATCCAGTGCATCAAGGGATGTGCTGCGCAAGCTGTGGGATGCCAACTTTCTGGCAGAGATGGGCGAGCAGTGGCTCTTCGTCACTCCTGCCGACGCCGTCAAGCTGTGTCGCTCCATGGCCGTGGCTGCACCGGCTGTGAAGGAGCAGGACGAGCTGCTGGCATCAGTTCAGGTGTATGACATCTAAAGGGGCTGCTACAACTGCTGCTGCTGTGCAACAGGTCTATGACACCTAGTGGGGTGTGTTTGATTGTAGGGAGGCAAGACATTGATGCCGAGCTCTGTCGCTCCATTGGCTGTGGCGTGGCAGCGCCGGCTGTGAAGGAGCAGGACGAGCTGCTGGGGTCCGTGCAAGTGTATGACATCTAGAGGGCCTGCTGGGGCTGCTGTTGCTGCGCAGCAGGTGTACCACATCTAATAGGGGGGGTGTGATTACAGGGCGCCAACACTTTCATGCCAAGCTCTGTCGCTCCGTGGCAATGGCAGCACCTGCTGTGAAAGACCAAGCCGGGCTGGTGACGTCCGTGCAGGTGTATTGACATGGAGGCTTGTTACCTCTGTGCGGCAGGTGTACAAAATTAAGTGCGGCTGCTACTTCATTCCGTGTGCGTGTGCACGACATCAACCTGCTGCTCCTGTGACAGCGCATGAAACGGCAGTCAGTGTGCTGCAGCATTGCCTACAACAACACTTGTGTTGTGTAGGTTGCAGCAATGCTGTGGTCAGCTTTTGTGCAACAGGATGTGGTGCTGCCGTCTGTGCAAAACTTGGTTTGGGTGTTTGATAAATTGGAAGTGGCGGCAGTGCTTGGAATGTTGTGCAGCCCTGCCTTCCATTTTTTACTGATTATGACAGTGTACAAATTATTGTATACTGACGTGTAGTTTATTATAAGAGATAACAGGATGTGTCTCAGCTGGTGAGATGTTAGTCTAGGTATCGTGTTACAAGTGCAATTGAGTGAGCGAGCGAGGATTGCACTATCGAGACAAGATACAATGAGCGAAGAATTGAGCGAAGAATATATAGCGAAACTACGGTGGTAATGGTAACGTGGGAAAATGGGGTGCGCGACGGGCCTAGTGCCGAGGTTTGGGGAACTGTCGAGGCGGAGGTCCGGAGCGCGGGTTACCAGCCGAACCGTGAGGTTGGGTCGCATCGTGAACAGTGGCGGGAATGGTGTCGAGGCGAATGTCGCGAGTGGTAACGGGCAGGGCTGATTTTATCAGGGTAATTACCCTGATTTCAGGGTGATTTCAGACTTGTCACTTTCTGGACCCTGAGAAAACAGGTTTTTCACATTTTGGTCCCTGATCCATTCAGAGTATTGCTTTAGCGGACCCTGAAATTTTGTGTACACTCTCAGTGTAGGGTTTTCACGGACCCTGTCAATACAGAGTACGAGGCCTGTGGACCCTGAATGCGATGTTATCGGGGCGAAGTTTCTCGGAAATTTCCTCCTGATAACCCCTTCGCATTGATTTCAGTGCCCCCCACGTGCGTAATCCTCCCTCCCCTCCCCCCACCCCCCCCCCCCCCCCCCCCCTCGCTTTATCGAGACGAAGTTTCTTTGAAGTTTCGTTCCCATACACCCACCATCTAGATCGGGCGAATCTGTAATGTCAGACTTTAGGTTGCTGTTATTGGTCGAAATAGATGAGCTCTAATACAGCGCCAGTCACATCGCCACAGTGCCAGTCACATCGCCACAGTGCCAGTCACTTCTGTCCTCGGTAAAGAAAGAGCGCGTTACTACGACCCTGATTTTCAATTCTCGACCCTGAACATTCAGAGTTCACTACTTCTCAACCCTGAGCAATCAGGGTGCTGTTATTCTGGAAAATGTGCCTTCAGGGTAATTTTTTTTTTTTTTTAGGTTGAAATCAGGGTACCTAAATTTGAAAAGTCAGCCCTGGTAACGGGATGTTGTGGGGTGCTGTCTGTCAGAATCCCAACCACTAGACCATTGGGATAAAAGGGCTTGTTTAAGTAGCGGGTCAGTGCGCCCATAACCCCCCAGGACAACGAGCCTGTAACCCTTCCCTAGGATCAATCGGGGATCACCAGTGGACCTCTGACACCCCCCCGCACTGGGATGCCCGAAGTGCACACACTGGGATTCGAACCCGAGACCTTCGCTCTGATGCCATGTCAGAATCCCAACCACTAGACCATTGGGATAAAAGGGCTTGTTTAAGTAGCGGGTCAGTGCGCCCATAACCCCCCAGGACAACGAGCCTGTAACCCTTCCCTAGGATCAATCGGGGATCACCAGTGGACCTCTGACACTGTCAGTGTTGTAAGCGCTGAGCAGGGACGCGAAGTAAGGAAATGGAATTTTCCTTACACTACCCCCCCCCCCCTCAAGGAGGCTTCCCTTACGAGAGCGCGTGTATATCCCGGAAATTTCTGCTGCGCAAGTAGTCGTTGAGGACGGGGTGGTTTTCGATTTTGTCCAGGGGAACCCAGTTGTCCTCGGTGGGTGTGCGGTCTCTCCAGCGTATTAAAAATTCGACCCTTCGGGCTCCTCGTGGGTCACGAACTCGGTGGCTCAAAATCTTTTCGGGCGTGATGACTGGCTCGGTCGGTGGTCGGGTCATGCTGGCTGGGCGATGTCGGGCCAGTTGGCTGGTGGATGGGATGTAGGGGCAAAGTAGGCTGACGTGGAAGGAGGGGCTGACGTACCAGTCAGCGGGGAGGAGGAGGTGGGCGGTGACTGGTGTGACCATGTGGGTGATGCGGAATGGCCCACAATATCGGGGGCGGAGTTTCGGAGTTATGGGCAGGCGGAGGTTTTGAGTGTCGAGTAGAATTAAGTCGTCGGGTTGGTAAGTGACTGGTCGGCGGTGGCGGTCGGCGTTGCGCTTAGCGATAACGTTCGCCTTTTTAATTGCGCCTGCTGCCCTGGTCCGAGCTTCCTGTAAAATTTCTGCGAACTGTTGCGCTCGTGGCACCGGGTTGTTGGGATTCGGGGTCATGGGTACTGTAGGGTCTTGTCCGTAATTTAGGTAAAATGGCGACTGTTGGGTCGTGGCGGATGGCGAGTTATTGTACGCGAATTCGATTAGTGGAAGTTGCTGTTCCCAGGTGGTGGGGTCATCGCACGTGGCCCAGATTAACTGTTCCATGGTCTGGTTTGTCCGTTCTGTCTGTCCGTCGGTTTCGGGGTGGTACGAAGAACTGAACTGCAGCCTCGTGCCGAATTGCTGCCACAGGTTCCGCCAGAAATTGCTGGTAAACTTCGTGTCTCGGTCGCTGATTATCGCTGTCGGTATCCCGTGTAATCGAACAACGGTTGCGATGAAGAGGCGGGCTGTTTCTTCGGATGTGATTGATTTCTTGCATGCTGCGAAATGTGCCATTTTCTGTCAAACTTATATCTGCTATGGTCTATTTAGGCTGTAGTGGGGTAGCTCTTAGAGGGTACAACACTTATGTGTTTCCTATTTGTACCTATCTCATTTTCTAGTTTATCCATTATTTCGTCAATCCTTCTCACATGGTATAGAGCTAGTTTCGAGAATTTTAAAAAAGGGCCCACCACTGAAATTCGTCACTGCCTGCTCGACGCGCGCGTCGCGCCTTCCCTTCGAGGCCCGTCGCGGCCCCTGCGCCTGCCCTTAGAGCCAGCGCCCGCCCCGTAAGGCCCCGTAAGGCCCCCTTTTCCGGCCCCGTAAGGCCCCTTAAGGCCCCGTTTACGGCCCCGTAAGGCCCCGTTTAAGGCCCCGTAAGGCCCCGTAAGGCCCCGTTTACGGCCCCTTTTAATGCCCCGTAAGGCCCCGAAAGGCCCCGTAAGGCCCCGTAAGGCCCCATTTACGGCCCCGTTTAAGGCCCCGTAAGGCCCCGTAAGGCCCCGTAAGGCCCCATTTACGGCCCCGTCAGGCCCCGTAAGGCCTCGTTTACGGCCCCGTTTAAGGCCCCGTTAGGCCCCGTAACGCCCCGTAAGGCCCCGTCAGGCCCCGTTTAAGGCCCCGTCAGGCCCCGTTTAAGGCCCCGCAAGGCCCCGTAAGGCCCCATTTAAGGCCCCGTTAGGCCCCGTACGGCCCCGTAAGGCCCCGTAAGGCCCCGTCAGGCCCCGTAAGGCCCTGTCAGGCCCCGTTAGAGGCCCCGTACGGCCCCGTCAGGCCCAGTTCTCGGCCCCGTCAGGCCCCGTCAGGCCCTGCGCCGGCCCTGCTGCAGCCCTGTCGCAGCTCTGCCCCGGCCCTGCTCCTGCACTGCCGCGGCCCGGCCCCGGCCCTGCCCCGGACCTGTCGCGGCCTCGCCCCGGCCCTGTCCCGGCCCTGCTCCGACCATGCCCCGGCCCTGCCCAGGCCCTGCCCCGGCCCTGCCCCGGCCCTGCTTCTGAACTGCCCCGGCCCTGCCCCTGAACTGCCCCGGCCCTGGCCCGGCTCTACCCCGGCCCTGCCCCGGCCCTGCCCCGGCTCTGCCCCGGCCCTGCCCCGGCCCTGCCCCGGCCCTGCTCCTGAACTGCCCCGGCCCTGCTCCTGAACTGCCCCGGCCCTGCTCCTGAACTGCCCCGGCCCTGCCCCTGAACTGCCCCGGCCCTGGCCCGGCTCTGCCCCGGCCCTGCCCCGGCCCTGCTCCTGAACTGCCCCGGCCCTACCCCGGCCCTGCCCCAGCCTCTCCCCTGGTAAGAGCGCCGCGCTACCTAGCCACACCACCCTGCCGAGCTGCGCCGCCCTGCCTAGCCTACTTAGCCGAGTTGCACTGTTGCTACTGCTAGCCTGCTGCTTCTCCTGTCATGGCTAGTCTCAATGTTCTTACCTTTGATGCTGAGGGTCGAGCTGTTGACTTTGAGGTCTGGCTAGATGATCTGCAGCTTTTCCTACAGTGCGATAGCAAGGATGGTCTCTCACTGTTCGATCTCACGTCTGGCGCCTCTACTGCCCCTACTGCTGATGCTGACAGTACTGTTCGCTCGCAGTGGCTCACGCGCGATGCTGCTGCTCGTCTTGCTGTGCGCAATCACCTGTCGTCTACTGAGCGCGCGCACTTTAGTCAGTACAAGAGTGCTAGGGCTCTGTACGACGCTGTAGTTGCACGCTACTCCTCCCCTACCACTGCTGCCCTCAGCCGCCTCATGCTGCCGTACCTTTTTCCTGACCTTGCCGCCTTTGCCACAGTTGCTGACCTAGTTGCTCACCTCCGCACTAGTGACGCTCGCTACCGCGCTGCCCTTCCCACTGA